GATGTGGAAGAGAACGGACACTTATGTTTCTTGGAGGTCATTCGCTCCAAAGAAACTCTTAAGAAAAACTTTGCCGAACGAAATCGCTTGCTGTAATAACTCTTAACACTCAATCGAAACATACTTATGGTATGAAGATTGGAATACTCCAGAGTATGGTCATAAGAAGCTTACGAATCACTAATTCTGAGTTCTGAACTGGGAAAATTAACTCAGATGTTTTTTTGAAACGCATATCCAGAAGAAGCAATATAACGCAATATACGGATGGTGATGAATAGATTAAAGGAATGAGATTATGAAAGGAAAGCAAGAGGAGCAGAGGAAAAACGATGGGTTGTCTATCCTCCTGCGAATTGGCTCTGAAGTTAGGGCCAATATTGGGGAAATGGAACATTAGTACAATCTTGAAGGAAAGGAGAACCCTCTTCATCAGCTTGTCCACACAACAGGAAAAAGTCAACAAAAGGAGTGCTCCAGAGTTTACAGAATGAACTGCAAGGACTGCAAATAAAAATACACTGGAGGTACAGGACTGACATTCAGCACAAGGATAAAAGACCACCAGTGACTTTGCAGAAAAATGGATGCGGAAAGGTCGGAGATAGCTGAACACATCGCAATTACGGGCCACACTTGATTCGAATGCAACGGAAAGACTGGCCTTATATGGGGAAAACACCAGGAAGTGAAAGATCATGGAGGCTGTGGACATCCTTTTTCCAAAAAACCTGATGAACAGGAAATTAGAAAAGGGAAGAATCAGCGATCATTTCGCGGTCTGCCTGAGCAGACTTAGAGATTCAGCGAAGACATCAAAAAGATGACTCTTTTACCCAGGGTAACTGTTCAACTACTGGAAAACACATCACCAAGGAGCGGCTCATGAGAAACAAATGGAAAAGGCGACTGCAGCGAGAAGTGTCAGACCTGTAATTGGCCAAAAAAATGCAAAAAAAAATTTACCCATGGGTTTCACATATGAGACGTAGGTTATGAAATTAAGGCCTAAAGGTATTGATGGGCTTGATAGAGGTCACCAGTGTGTTTGCTTAGGTTGTTGCGTGCATTTTTCGTTTCTGTATTTGAAGAGGATACGACTGGTGACATGCTTGATCACAGAGGATACCAGCCAACACACACAAGAACAGTACCATAGGATTAGATGGGATTGTCAACTTGAGAGACGAGAGGAGTGTGCTTTTTGCGATTTAAAGGGAAAAAAGGAAGCGGTGCATTCTACCACCAGTGGTTATGACTTAAGTCGGACACAGGGCCCCAAAGAATTAGACACAATATGGGTGAGGATGAGGGAGAGGATAATTGAGTCACGGGTTTAAAAATTAGGGAGCAGAAGATTCCCATGCACTGACACTAAAAGGCATAGGCATGGACCTATGGATCATCTGCTCTAATTTCTTGAATATGGCGTAATCGAAGTCGGGAATTGAAGGCGCTTAGACAGCAAGATTTCAGACTGCTAAACAGTGATTTTGACGTTTAGCAGCTGCCACTTGACAAGCGGGGGGCGAATCTAGGTCAGGCGACTTCAAACCGGCATCTGGTACCGGTGGTGTGAATAAGTGGATGGGTCATATGAATAATCGACCATACCAGAGGCCGCAACATCTTGGTCTTCATATCTTCATATGAAGTGGGGTCTCACTAGCAATGCCATCTACCATACCGGCGAAACGTTTGGGTATGTACCCAACCGATGGTCCAATGCTGAAAATCACGAATACTATCGTCTAGAACTGTGTTTTCTCTCACATTTTTGTTTAGTTATGCCAAATGTCTGGGTTAAATTAATTATGAAGCTTTTCCATTATTTCGCGGCTCCCTGGGGCGCCGCGGCGCATAGTTTGGGAATCACTGGTCTAGAACACGGGATTAAGTACGTTCCACCAGGTCTCTTTGACGCTCCGATCAAGTTGCGAAAACAAGGTCGAACCAACACTGCTGTTTATTTGTCATTGGAATAATTTCCTTGTTCGTATACTTACGACCAGGTTTGAATTGATTGCTTATTTCTTGCTTTCATTCTCTTCATATTATCAAGAGACTTACACTCCTCGGTCCGGCACCACTTCGCTCTTTCCAACGTTTCTTTCACTCTTCGCCCTGGCGACCGTGTTGGAATAGTTGGCCGCACTGGTGCCGGAAAATCTAGTCTCTTAAAAGCACTCTTCCGTCTTGTTGAGCACATGCCTGGGCAGCATACGACGCAGGAACTGGCCAAAAGGACTGCATTCAACGGCGTCACAGGACAGGTTAGGATCTTCATTTGGTGGTAAACTTGTATCGATAAAAAACCCTCAATCCGAATTACCCTCCATTATAATCTTTCGAGTTTTCTTAAATGTATCTTGCCTATTGTCTTAAATATTCGGCTAAAAATCATCATCAAGAAGCCACTAAATTTCAAAGCCTTGTATAACTCCTTTATTTAATCATATATATTAAGACCAAGATGGTGTGGCCTTCTGTTTTGTCGCAGTCTCTTTTAGCTTTATAGTGTTGGTTCGACCTTGTTTTCGCAACTTGGTCGGAGCGTCGGGGAGACCTTGTGGAACGTGCTTAGTCACCTGTCCTCTGCCACAGTATTCACGATTTCTAATATTGGGCCATTAGCTAGATACATTCCCAAACGTTTCTAAGGCATCGTAGTCGGCTTTGTCAATGAGAGGCGCCATCGTAAAAACAGAATTAAAACTGATCAAAGTGGCATTTGAAGGCAATCCCCTTGACCAATTTTATGTTCAACCGTTGTTGCATCACTCTTGGCCCCTATTTTTTTTCTCTCTTCTAGTGTCGTATCTCTTTTCTCTCAACCTCACTTAATATGGCCATCCACTTATTCACACGATTCTGTGCTTTTGTTTCCTCCAATTTCGCCTAGGAGTATGTCGCCACAAGTGGGTTTATGACAGCGTAATCATCTTCACCACCGGTAACAGGTTCAGTTTGCAGGGCTACTGACCTAAATTCTGCCCCTCCTTTTTACTACCCGCTTTTCAACTGGCTACCACTAAACACCAAAATCATTGCTTGGCTGTCTGAAATCTGGCTGCCTAAGAGCTTTCCAATCATTTCCTCGATTGCGCCATATTCGAGGATTTAGAGCAGATGATGCCCATGCACATGCCAGTGCCTGGGAATCTTCCTCTCCCTTGGCTTCAAACCCAGGTCATAATCGCTGGTGTGAAAATGCACCGCTTTACTTTTTCTCTTTTAATCGCGAAAAACGCACTCCTCGTCTCTTAAGTAGACATTCCCATCTAATCCTAGGGTATTGAGATGATGTCCCTGCGTGTGTTTGTTTTTGAATTTTATTTTAGAGGTATATCGCATGCTCCTCTGGTCTGTTAGTTTAATTTTAATGTAAAAAGGCGTTTCCATATATGTACTTAGATGGACAGTTTATAAAATGGTTGAGCTAAGTCGGACTCGGCATTTTTTCTAGGAAAGTAACCAATGGCTCAGACGTTGGATTATATTCGACATTTTGCCCCTAATTTGAGCACCGTTTAATATATTAAAGTTCATCCCCGTGGAAGAGAATAACCAGTGGGCACAGTCTCTTCTAAAACTATTCGTCAAAACTTACTGATTTTTTGAGCTATCACATGCCAGGTGAATGTGTTACTAGAGGCTGTCTCGGCTAACTTCCTTATATCTACTTGAATTTTAGCCAGTATGGAAAGTATGAAGACCAAGATGGTGTGGCCTTTTTTGTGATCGCAGTCTCCTTCCGTTGTATAGAAGTTGTTTGACCTTGTTTTCGCAACTTGGTCATATTGGTAGGAAGGCTTATAGGAACGCATCTTGTTCTGAGTCAAATGTATGCATAATTATTTCCAAAGTCGGACCATGGACGCGGTACATTCCCAGACGTTTTGCCGGCATCGTCAGTGTGTCTCGCCATTCGTAGCACCATATTACAACTTGTCAAAGGGACAAGTGAAGCCCATCCTTTGACCAAACGTGTGCTAAACAGTTATGATATCTCGCCTTCTGCCCTGGCCTATTCACATTTCCTATATCCTCCTATTATGCTTTCCTTGTCAAAGTTTTTACCGTGCTTATTTATAATGTAGTGTTGTGTGCCCCTTCGAACGGCATTCGTGAAAACCCTTCACACTCCACACTGACGTTATCACCCCCTTCACCATTGTGCTTGCAATGTTGACCAGAGTCTGTCATATTGTTACGTAGTCCTTCCCTGGGTACTATCAAAGTCTCCCTCTTGCCCCGTCGAATCCGTCTGCTACGAATGGCGAGACTCGCTGACGATA